CTACCCTCCCTTGTCTCGGATGGAACATTTGCTTAATTAAAGGAAAGATTCAGTTTCTGTGTTAGCATTTGCTAAATAGAATTTCCATGGGGTTGGAGAGATGGCTCAGGGCTTAAAGCACTTGCCACACAAGTGTGAGGATCAGAGTTTGGATCCCCAGGACCCACATAAATCTGAATGGGTGTGGAAGCCTGTCTCTAATTCTAGAGCCCCCCCCCCCCAGCAAGCTAGCCAGTGAGACTAGCCACACTGGAGAGCTCTGGGTTTGATTGAGAGTCCCTGCCTCCATGAATGAAGTGGAAGAGTGATGGAGGATGATTTCTAATATCAACCTCAGGCCTCCATATGCACACATGCATTCATACCCATATGTGCCCACACATGTGCAAAACACATACACATGCATGTGTACCACACCCACATAAACATGGGAAAAAAAAGCCCAGAAGCTTCATGTGGGGCACATGATGTAGGCCGCCAGCCAGGAAGTTGGCATTGACACTACCCCTCCATGAGGAAACTGAGGCTCTGGGGTTGCCTGTCTGCTGCCTGTTGCTGGAGCCTGGTTGCCTGCGTGGCTCTTTCCCATGGCATATCATGGCAGTGTGTTGCTCTCTCTTAGCTCGCCTACTCCACTTCCTAATGTTCTAATCCGGAGGCTGGTGAATGGAATCTCGTGGGCGACCCAGTTAGCTTGTGACCAGTCAGCCCCCAGAGGTTCCATGGGCTGTCGTCATCCTGAGTCTCCACCCCAGAAACAGGGGCTTTCCAGCTTTGGTAGGGGGGAGGAGCTTGCAGAAACCCACCATGTGTAAGTCTACCTCTATTCAGGTGTGACTGACACGTTCCCATTTTACCATTTCAAAGTCCCTTTCTAAGTGGCTGCGGATATGATTCAGTTGGTAGAGGGCTTGCCTGGCACGCATGAGCTTTGAGTTCATTTCCCTGTACTACATAAACCAGATGTTGTGAAACATGAATACAATCCCCATACTTAGAAGGCAAGAGGATCAAAACTTCAGGGTTATCTTTGGCTACAAGGGGCATTCTAGGGAGGTGGAGAGGGCGAGGATTGGATCAGTCCTACAGCGAGGTTGGTCCTGGGTCCCTTTGGGAAGCAGGAAGGGCTCTTTCAGGCCATTGATTGACTAAGTGGTCCTGGAGAGAGACGGCTGAAAGGTCTGCAGCCTGTGGGCTGAAGTCCCCTGGGGCTCCCGAGGCTGCTGTCCACAGTGCTGAATCCTGAGGCTGCTGTCTGCAGTGCTGAAACGGGCCTGCATTGGAGGCAAAGGAAGGCCTCTGTGTGGGCCTGGGGCCCCTGCTGCAGTCAGGTCCTCTCCTACCTATGATGATGGGAGCCAGGCGTGTGGCTGGACACACGGTGTGGGTGCCTTGATATTTTAATTGAAGCCTGGAGACACAGTTGCTCTCTCTACTGCGCTGACAATGTACAGAATAAATAATTCAACCTTGGCTGTGTTGTGCCTGATGTCCTCGCCCAAGGGGGCAGCCACACACAAGCCCACACATACAGGCAGCCAGGAGGGGGACAGGAGCTGCTGTTGGGGCCAGTGGCTGGGCTGGAGGCCTAGTGTTTCCATTTTAACTGGGCTCTGGTCACCATTCAACATGGGGGCCTGGGTTTCTTCCCAGGTAGCCCTTGAAGAGAGGTTATCAGAATGCCCATCCGACTGCTCCTGTGTGGAGCAATTAAGTGGCGCTTAAAGTTCTATGTGTCCTCAGACCAGCCTGAGATACCAGTGACCTGGAGGCAAGGACTTTCTTAATGGCTACACTCCCTGGCCTGCATCTGCCCTGGTTCCTTCCGATTTACAGAGTTTACAGAGTTCCAAGTTCATGGGTGGTGCAGAGTAGGTGTTGGGGTGGGAGACGGTCACAGTGAACGAATCTGGCTCTTCTCAGATGGGGAGGTGTGACATGTTCATGGCTGGTCACCACGCAAGGTGGGGCGTAGGGGGTGGTGGTGGCAGTGGGGATGAGGATCTTGGCGCTTGGAGAGCAGTTTGGATGAATGCTTGGAGGTAGCTTCCTGGAGAAGATGGTCAATGCCCTGCAGGTCACAGCGGCTGGTCTGAGATAGGATGGCATGTGTGGAACACAACAGGGCTCATGGCATGGGGGAATGCCCTAGTTAGCTTTAACTGTTAACTTGATACAGCCTAGAGTCATCTGAAAGGAATTTCCTAGATCAGGTTGGCCTGCGGGCATGTCTGTGGGGGATTGTCTTGATTGTTGATTGGTACAGGAGAGCCCAGCCCACTGTGGGTGCCACCTTTCCTAGGCAGGTGGTCCCAGGCTGTGTACAACAGCTAGCTGAGCATGAGCCAGTGAGAGAGTCAGCAAGAAACATTCCTCCGTGATTTCTGCTTCAAGTTTCTGCCTGGAGCTCCTGCCCTGACTTCCCAGTGATGGACTGTGATTGGAAACATGAGCCAGATAAGCCCTTTCCTCTCCAGGTTGCTTTTGGTCAAAGTGTTTTATCACGGCCACAGAAAGGAAGCTGGATCAGGGAGCACAGGGTGGTGGGTACACGGAGGCAGGCTGTGACGAGGGGTGACACTACAGGGTGTGCCCTGGCAGGGTTTGGGGTGAGAAGGAGTCCTTTGGAGGTGGGGTGCAGTGTCAGTTGCAGGGTGAGACCTGGGGTTGAGTGTATGACTAGGGGATGGTGGGTAGCTTAAGCTAGAGGCAGTAGTGGCCTACGTGATGACTTTAGGTACAGTGACATTCATTCATTTATTCATTCAGAAGTCAAGTGACTGTTTTATGAGTTAGATATTGGGCTAGGCTATTAATTTAGCAGCAAAGAGCTGGTTTCCATGGAGATGACCATAAACAGGGCAAGTCATGACTCAATGGGGACAGAGGCTACAAAGAGTTGAGCTTCAGAGACTGGAGCCAGTGGGGTGCTTGTGAGCAAGGCCATCAGGGAAACCCTGGGGATTGAAGGTAGACTCAGGTGAGGGTGGAGCCAGTGCAAAGGCCCTGTGGCAGGAGCATGCTTGGCCTATTTTTAGAAACAGCAGGAGGAATGAGGGGATGAAGTCATGGGGTTGGGTCAGCAGTGCCTGGGGGATCTGAGGCCGACTTTGTCTTCAATTTGTAAAAGAACCTTTGAGAAGTTTAAGCAGAGAGTGTGATCAAATTAATGTGTTTTTGGCTTTTATTAATTTTTCTTTTTCTTTTCTTTTTTTTTTTTTTTGGTCTTTTGGAGACAGGGTCTCCCTGTAGCCCCAGCTGGCCTGAAACTCGCATTGTAGGGCGGGCTGGCTTTGAACTCACAGAGATCCACCTGCCTCTGCCTCCCAAGTGCTGGAATTAAAGGCGTGCACCACCATGCCCAGCCATTTTTCTTCTTTTTAGTTGTCTCTGGGTGTGGAATTCTTGCATGTATATATGCCTGTGTGTGCCCATCTGTGTACATGTGTGTGGAGGCCTGAGGTTGATATCTGATATTGTGAATCATCCTCAATTGCTTTCCCATGTTATTCTTTGAGGCAGGGTCTCTCAGTCAACCCAGAGCTCACTGATAAGACTAGGCTCACTAACCAGCCAGCTCTGGAGATGCCTTATCTTTGAGGCTGGAGTTTCAGGCAGGCCACCGTGCCCACACGTGTTCTGGGTACCTGAACTCTTAATTCTCTTGCTTGGTCAGTAAGTGTTTTAGCCACTGAGCCATCTCCCTAGCCCATGCTGTTGTTAAACTATAGTCTTATACTATATATAGCTCAGGCTGGTCTGGAGCACATCTGTAGCCCAGGTAATCCTCCTGTCTCAGCCTCTCAAGTTCTGAGGTTATAGGCCTGCTTCAGATTTTATTATTATGATGATTTTTTTTTTTGGTTGACTCTTTGAGACTGACCCATTATGCAGTCCAGGCTGCCCTTGAACTCCTGATTCTCCTGCCTGTGCCTCCTGAGTGCTGGGACTATGGGTGTGTGCCATTCCAACAAGACCAGATTTATGTTTTGAAAGGCCCCCCTCCTCCCTCCCCTCCCCAGCAGCCATAGAGCGATGGCTCTGTGCATGCTTGGGGCTTCAGTTGCCTAGAAGAGCTGATTTGTGATCACCTTCCATCTCTAATTCCTACCCTCCCTTCTTCTCCCCTGCCGGGGGGGTCATCTGTCCCCAGACCTGCTACACAGAAAACCCCAGAGGGTGCTGGAGTCTTTCAGGGTGCCTGGTTCTGCAGTCCTGTTCCCTGCAAGGCTGGGGTCTTCAGTGCATGAGAGGCCAGGGCCTTTCTGGGCCTCAGGTCTCCTCATCTGTTGCAGTTGATGTGAGGTCTGAGTGGGGAATATATCTGACAGCCGGGAACAGAAGGCACTTAGGATCACAGTTGTCAAAGTGTAGGGAGGAGGGACTGACCAAAGGGAAGGGCTGAGACAGAGGCTAAGCATAGTTACCTAGGGCACTTGTCACTCTAAATGTGCCCTGGCTGGGAGTATACACAGATTCCAAAACTGCAGGGAGGAGAGAGAGGTTTGGGAGGTCAAGGACCTTCCAGAGGAGGTGAGGGGATGGGGGCATCCTTGGCCCAGAGGGTGGCAGTGCCAGGTGCTGGGTTACCTGGGCGGGGAAGATGAGGTGGGTGTTGATTTTGGTTTTCATGGGTAATTTTCTTTCAGCTGAGCTGCCAATAGCTTCCCACTGTAAGGCTGAGGCCAGGACCCTTATGTCCCCCTTCAGGACCTTGGTGAGTCCTCACCCCATCAGGCATGCCCAGCACCAGGGGCCTCCCCTGTCAACCAAGAAGTGTATAGTTGAGTGAACCTTCCTTCTTCAAGTTGGCAGAGCTGCAGAGACACAAATGGGATGTGAGAGTTGGGCTTCCTTCTGGAGACCCCCTCTACCCTGTGTCACTGTCCACGATAGCGGCCAGCCTGAACAGTTATAAAGCCATTGCCTCCCTGGGGCAGAGAGAGAGGAGAGAACAGAGGGCCTGTTTAATTTAATTCTGTGTTTTATTGCTTGTTGGATAAATAACCTTCATTAAGATGGAAGGTGGGGTGGCTGGGGGGCGGGGAGGACAGGGAGAAGTTTGATTAATTCCGAGCTGTGTTCTCCTTTGTTAGTTTTCCTCCAGTTCAGCAGGATTATTTCAACAAATTACAAACACTGCTGTCCCCACCCTGTTCCCTACAGGAGCACAGCCTTCAGGGAGGGGTCCTGGCCCCCTTTTCTACTGCGGTTATTTAGAGGCAACTTGGAGCAAGGTCAGGTGCTCCTCACATCCTGTTTGTTAGGGTTCCCATGTTCCTGAAGCCTCCAGGGTCTGAACAGCTGGAGTATGGAAAGGGTTGGGGTGGCCAGTAGTGTCCTAGGGGGTAAGTGGGACATGGTCACATAGCCTCGGGGATACCCCAACCCACCCCTCAGTCCCCTTCCAGCATGCTGCCTCCTGGCCACTGCCCTTCTGACCCTTGCTTCCCACTTGAACCCACCTTGTCCTCTGTTCCTGCCCCGAGTTTTCCTTCTGGCTCTACACAGTCCTGGAGACACTGTCCCCTGCTGGGTGCTGATGGGAGACCAGGCTGGCAGCTTGCTCATACGGGGCAGTGGAATCGTAGCTGTTTGCCAGGCCTCCTAGAAGATGAGACTAGGGAGGTTAGTGTGCTCCCTTTCCCCACCCCCCTCTCTCTCCTCCTTCTGGAGAGAATTGAACCCAGGGCCTTGCATATACCCAGGAAGTGCTCTACCACTGAGCTACATTCCCCAGCTCCCTTTTAAAAAAATCATTTATTTATTTATTTATTTATTTATTTATTTATTTATTTATTTACTTATTTTTGAGACAGAGTCTCCCTGTAGCCCCAGCTGGCCTGGAACTCACTATGTAGACCAGGCTGGCCTTGAACTCACAGAGATCCACCTGCCTCTGCCTCCCAAGTGCTGGGACTACAGGCGTGCGCCACCACACCCAGCTATTCTGTTTTCAAGATAGGGTCTCACTGATTTACACAGGCTAGCTTTGAACTCACTTTGTCCCTCACATAAGACTTGACCTTGCAATCCTCCTGCCTCAGCCTCCTGGGTGGCTGAGATGACAGGCTTGTGCCCTCAGCAATGGCAGGTTATGAATATGCTTATGCAACCCAAGTGGATGGTCAAACTACCCTGCTCTCCTGAGTCTGTGTGCATGCTTGGTGTGTGTGTGTGTGTGTGTGTGTGTGTGTGTGTGTGTGCAGACATGTGTATGCATATGTGATATGTGTGCAGAGTCAATTTTGCATAGAGGCGTGTGTGCAGCTCAGATACACAGATTGTGTTCACACTGTCAGGTGCATCTCTCACTGTGGGTCCTGTGCATGTGTGTCCAGGACAGAATGTGTGGAACTCAGGGAGTGCCTGTGTGCATATGCACACCCATGTTCCTGGTGTGTGTGGCAGTGTCTTAGTGCCCTGAGTGTGTACATGCCCTCTTCTTGAGTGTAGGAGGAAGGGAGCATCTCGGGTTCCACCACATCTCTGGTACACCTTTGTGTGTCACATGAACAGCCCTGGGTCACAGGCAAGTAGGACAGGTGGATACTGGCCAGGCTGGAGGTGGAGACAGACAGAGTAGAGCCAGGGAGGCCTTCAGCGCAGGACACACAGGACAGACCTAGAACCTGTGAAAGTGAGGAGGCGGATTCAGCTCTGAGCCGCTGGAGCTGGAACGGGTCCCCCTGTGAAGCCCCAAGCCCCCTGCTTGGAAGATTTCCTCTTGGGGACACTGGGGTACAGGAACATACCCCCATAGCTGAAGGTCTGTGGCAGAAAACCTCTTTTCAGGGAGCTGGATGGGTTTGACCTCATGATGGGAACTTCAGACTGGTAGTGGGTGCTGGGCAGTGCAGAGTGGACGGGGCAGGGCCTTGAGTACCCCCTTTTCTGCCCAGTGATGAACTCAGGGCCTCGCATATGTGAGGTAAAAACTAACCACAAAGGGGCTGGAGAGATGGCTCAGCAGTTAAGAATACTGGCTGTTCTTGCAGAAGACCTGGGTTTGAATCCCAGCACCCACAATGTGGCAGCTAACAACTGTCCGTAACTCCAGTTCCCTGGGATCTGGCAGCTTCTTCTGTCCTCCATGAGCATTGTAGGACATGGGTGCACTTAGCTACATGCAAGTAATACATGCATATACATAAAATATAAAAGTAATAAATAAAATTTAAAAATATTAAAAGAAAAAGAACTCACCACTGAGCTGCAGGGCCCTTGGGTTTTGAGACAGGTTCTGACTATGTAGGTCAGGCTGGCCTCAGACTCATGAGCCTCCTGTCTCAGTCTCCGAGTGCTGGGATTCCAGGTCTCAGTCTCCTGTGACTATTCCCCACAGATGTCCACTATCTCCTGTCACCAGGGGACCTGGTTGTACCTGCTGTGGGGGTGCATGGCCCTCTAAGCTCTGCTTCCTGAACTTCCAGGGACCCTCTCAGGCTCAACTGCACTGGGGCAGGCTCTGCTGGGGCCCTGACTGAATGGCAGTTACGGGGTCTGCAGGGTGAGAAAGGGAGGGGGCCTGGTCTCTCCAGGCACATGTATGCCTGTATGTGCACGTGCATGCATGTGTGCTTGTATGAGTGTACGTGTATGTGCGTGTGTGTGCATATGTGTTTTGTGTGTGTGTGTGTGTGTGTGTGAGATGGGGTGCTCTCCCACGAATGCTCCCATGGTAGGGGCAGGTTGGGGGAGCAGGGTGGGCCCTGTCCTCCCCACTCTTGCCAGGGACGAGGAGCCCTCATGTCACAGCCTGGGAAGGAACTTCCGCAGTGAACATCCCCTAAGAGGAAGGTGGCATACCGCCATCTGTGGACCTGCTTGGAGGATACCCAGGACAGACATGGGGTCAGCCTAGAAGGGAGGAAGTGCCTGGCATTCTTCTGTGAGGGCTCGGGAGGGTATAGGCACCCCTGTAGGCTGTGTGCACCCACTGAGGTGGTTCTGGGGTGGGTGGGGTCGGAAGAGGGAACCCTGTAAGTGTTAGCCACCGATTGGCTCTGTGGTCTGACTTGCTCCCGCTTGGCATGTCCATCCCTTGGCATCTGAGCTGGACCAGGCCTGTGAGCTTCAGACTCTTTTGAATTGCATAAACTTTAATTTATTTTTTTAATGTGTATCTGTATACTGCCTGCCTGTAGGTAAGTGCACCTGTGTCATGCAATGCCTGTGGAGACCAGAAGAGGGCATTGGATCCCCTGGAACTGGAGTTACAGATAGTTGTTAGCTGCCATGTGGGTGCTGGGATTCCGACTCAGGTCTTCTGTAAGAACAGCCAGTGTTCTTAACTGCTGAGCCATTGCTCCAAGCCCTTAAACTTAAAAAAAAAAAACAAAAACCAAAAAACTTTAAAATTGTGTGTGTGTGTGTGTGTGTGTGTGTGTGTGCGTGTGTGTGTGTGTGTATGTTTATGTGATCGCATGCGTGAGTGCATGGACATGTACCATTGAACCAACATGGTGGTCAATGGACAACTTGTGGGAGTTGGTTCTCTCCTTCCATCATGTGGGTTCCAGGGATTGAATTTAGATCTTCAGGCTTTGTGGCAAACATCTTTACCCACTAAGCCATCTCGCCAGCCCCTTGCATAAACTTTTCTCTGACAGAATCTTGATGGGACCCACCAAGGAGAATCAGTAGAGTGGACTGTGGCTCTGGACACTGTTTAGTCATTCATGTTCTTTTCTTACATCCTGGAGTGATAGCCAGGAGCAGGACAGACAAAGCGCCTGCCCTTGGGGACTGTCATTCCACTGGGGATGCACACATCTATAAGCCTGAGGGAACTGTGTGGTGTCACAAGTGTGTAAGTGGGAGCCTCAGGTGCAAAGGTCCTGGGGTGAGCTCCTGCTGGGCCTGTTGGGAAGAGTAGTCCAGTGGCGGGAGGGTAGTAGAAGGAGAGGTCAGGCTTCGGCCCGATCCTGCAGGATCTGGAGTGCCAAAGCTTGGGGAGGGGGGAGGAAAGAGGGAAAGACTGATCTAATTGGGGCTAAGTAGATGGGAATGGCTTGTGTGTGTGAGGGGGCTGACTGTGGGAGGCTAGGAGGCTAGTGAGGAGGCAGAAGCTGGGGATGGGGTAGAGACAATGTGACAGAGTTGGTGGGTGGTGGCTGGGTTCTGGACGTTTCCAGAGTAGAGCCAGTGACATTGATGTTAAGTCAGGTTTGAGCATGGAGAAAGACTTGAGGTTTTGACAGGGCTTTGGACTGAACATCAGGAAGAACACAGAGGCCCTGCAGCTCTGCTCTGTGAGGTCTGACCTGCCCATTCACTGGGGATCGAGGGGAGAACACTGGGCTTGGCTGTCAAGGTACATCTGGGGATGAGCAGAGAGGGAGGCAGGTCAGGGAAGCCCTGAGCCCTGGGGTCAGGCTTGAGGCATGGAAAAGAGACTGGGCCAGCCAAGGAGGCTGAGGAGGGCACTGGGACCTGGTAAGGAGGGAGGTCACATGGGTTAGAGGTTGTAGTGGGGACGATGGATGCCAGTGTGGGGAGGCCGGTTAGGGGCTTTGGCTAGGGCCCCCGAGGCACAGCTGGGCACCTGGCTGGGGACCCCATGGTCATGCCTGCTGACTTTGCTTATCCCTTGAACCCCTGGTTCAGGCTTTCTCACCTTCTGCTTAGGACTCAGTTCCCCCCAGGGCCTCAGTGGGGCCACCTCCCTGCTCTCCGGCCAGCCTGACTCTGGCCTGGCTGCAGCCATAAATCATGGGGAGTGGTGGTGGTGTGACTTTTATCGTCTCATGTGTTCAATGATGTTAATACTTCCCATTAGATCATCTTATATTAATATAGCGCAATACATCAGACATGCACAGCACATTAGCCTGACTTGGAGAGTGCTGGGCAGACCATGAGGCTCATTTCCTCAGACACTGGCCACACCCCCATCCCTGGTGCTCAGCAGCCAAGTGGGCCTCAGGGTGTCCCTGCAATGGCAGCTGTCCTGGGTGTTGAACCGCAAGGTGGTCCTCCTAGTCCTGACCCCCTCCCCATGAAAGGTCACCAGGTTTGAGAGAGGTTTTCATGGCTCCCTACTTCCTGTGGAGGTCTATCCCTGAACCTGTTCCAGGAGCCGGGGAGGTCATTAAGACCCCACTAAACAGGACAGGAGCAGAGTGGAGATATGAAGCGGCCTGCCCATTGGGTATGGGGAGCACTGGCAGGAGCACGGACTCCTGACTCTCGTCTGGGCTGTCTCCCAGGGCCGAGGGTGATGTGGGTGAACACAGTGGTTCCAGGAAAGGGGGCAGAGAACATTCAGGTAGAACCAGGTGGACCCAGGTCCAAATCCTACTTTACAGTGCTATGTGATCTTAAGATCTTTTTTCCTAAGCTTTGGCTTTCTCATTTGAAAAATGAAGGTAATGTACACTATTCCTGTTGGGTGAGGAAGGAATGTGGTGGTTCCAGGGAAGTGTAAGGACAGAACTGGTTCTCACTGGACCATAGCTCTGGCTCACCAGACACTAGCCTCTTCTTGCCTGTTTCCTGGGCTGCCACCTGAGACACCATCTCAGCTTGGGCCCTGGTCATCTGGTCCAGTGTCACTGGCTCCCTGGTGTACAGGTGGCGCTTTGCAGAGTCAACGGGGTGAGTCTCTTCACTTCTCTGTGAACCAGGCAAAGCTTTCTCCCTATGGACTATACTGAGGATTAAGGAACAAGAGCCAAAGAAGGCCTTAGCCCCTGCTACTTGTGTACCAAGACAGCGATGGCCCCATGACGTTCCAAGAGATCCCTTCCCCTTCCCCAGCTTCCGTCCCACCCATCTCCCTGTGCGCCCCTGACCGTGACCTTTACAGAGATCTGATTCTCACCATGATGCCCACTTCGCAGATTGTGGACTAAGGCTCTTCAGGGCTGCCACTGATTTAGGGTCACCTAGCAACTTGCATCTCACCTCTGGGAACTTGGCTCCAGCCTTCCTTGAACAGGGCATAGCAGCTGAATTGGGCTCTGGCCTTCCCCACCAGGCCTCAGCTCCGACCACCCACCTCCCCCGCAGTTGTCACAGTCACCACTGACAAGGTGGCACAGTCAGCTCTTGACCCTGCTAAAGTGAGTGTAATTTATTGATCTACATTTTGCTTAGGAAATAGGACAAGTGCTGATTTGGGGATCTTGTTTGCACTCAGCCCGGCACCTACCCGCTCACCACCCACCCGCTCTTATCTGTCGCCAGGCCCTGCCTCCAACACACCAGTGTGTGGCTCCTTTGTCAGGCGGTGCCAGGCGATGCCAGGCGAGCTAGGCGCCCTCCTCCCTTTTCCCTCCACACCCCGTTCTCCTCCATCTCCCAACCTCATAGGGAGGGGTGCTGGGCTCCTGAGAAACATGCAGCGCTTAAAAGGGCGAGACAAGGGACTGAATAGCGCACCTTCTGGGGAGACACCTGCTCAACAGCCCACTGCCTGCACCTCTCTGGTCTGTTTGGTTCTCTCCGGGAAAACGTAATTCAAACCCATCTGGAAATTAATCCAAGTGCCCGCTTCCTGTCCTGATAAGATGCTGGGCGGCCAAGGAGGGGAGACAGAAGTGTGGGACAGGCCCTCAGTCATCATTCCCAGGGTGTCACTGTCAAATTAGAGGGACAAGGTGCAGTGGGGCCCTAGAGGTTAGAGGTTCACTGGGAGGGTCCTGGGAGATGATGGGATCTTAGCATCATTCACCTGTGGGTGCTGTCATGAGTAGCTCACTCACTGCAGATGTGTCAGCTGGCCCCTGCTGGGCATTAGGTAATGTGAGGATAGGACTCAGAAGCTGACTCTACCATTGAGGATTAAGGGAGTGGGGTGCATACATGGCTGTGGAATGGGCCTCCAACTGTGGGTCTGGCCAGCGCAAAGCCCCTGAGGCATGTTTACAGTGCTCAGGCTGTAGAGGGAGGCTGGTAGGGTGGGAGCTGTGTAACCAAGCTAGGTGTGGGACCAGATGATGTTAGAGGCCATGCGTGGGAAAATATTTTGTTAAAACAACAAATGTTAGTGAC